AAATCGTCGGCATTGCAAAGTTGCATTTTCCCTGTTGCTAAATATCGTAGTGTTGCCAAACATTTTATTTCCGGACTAATCGGGTTATTCCTGTTAGTCGGGGATGTTATTGCATCCCGCACTAATTCCACAACAAGTTTGATACCCTCACGATTTAGCCTATATCTCTTGATCAATTCACAGTCTTCCATTGTCTCCAAAACATTTCGTCTCGCAGCCATTTTCAGATTCTTTGTGAATAGGTCTTACTGAGTTAGGAGTCCTCTCGAGGACTTTTAAGCTCTCCTAAACTTAGGTGCTACTTTTAGGCCTAAAATACTTTGTGAATTGCTCTTAGTGAATAAAATTAGGAGTCCTAAATTTAAGACTGACACGCCCATTATGTTTAGGAGTTTCTCCTAAATTCGCCAGTTAGGAGCTACTTTTAGCCCTAAGATCCTTTGTGAATACGGCCCCTGGAGTTGGTGTTTAGCTGATGTGTATTTTCCCGTTCAAGTACAATTGAATAGAATACACAGCATTTAGAGGGATTTTGACCAATAACTGCCTGTTCTGCTGCGTTGTTCATTGACTTTAGTTTGAAAGGGACAGATGGAGCTCACAGGGGACATCAATGTTACTGTTTTGCAGGCTTGGGTCTCTCTAGTTCGTCCCAGTGGGATCTCATGGGCACTGCTATGGTTACACCTGATCATGTGAGGCTGACCCCGGACCTGCAGAGCAGACAGGGAGCAGTGTGGAGTCGAATTGTAAGTCCACTGCATTAAACATCCAAATACATAATTAACAGACACCCTAACCTCACACCATCTGCCTCACTTTAACACAGTAACTCTGAAATTGTCTTGTTAACTTAACCTCTCACCATCACCTTGGTATGATAGTAAGATAAAAAATGTTCAAAATCATAAGAGTTAAGCTTGTTTCTAAATTCCGTTGACAAATTTTGTCTGCACATACAAAAGAATAACCTGCTCGTCTTCATTGCTGTCTCTTTCCAGCCGTTTTTCGAGCGGGACTGGGAGCTCAAGGTGCAATTCAAAATCCACGGCGTTGGAAAGAAGAATTTGAATGGGGATGGCATGGCTATCTGGTTAACCAAAGATCGCATGCAGAACGGTAGGTGGACTGGATCAAGGCTAGACGTGGAAATGATTTAATGTAATGTGAAAACAAACGGGATGAACCCCAGTTTTTCTAGGACGATATTCTTTAATATCTCGTTTTTTGAAATGAGTTTCCCCACTCATAGGTGAATGCTTTCCTGATGAGATTTCAAACTTTCCTACATGTTTTTATTAATCTTGTTGCTTTTAATAAATCTAAAACACTCCCTTGATTATTTTTTTCTCAGCATTTTGAAAGCCGTGACAGTATGGCGTACATTTGGCAACTGCCATTTAAAAAGGTATTCGGTCAAGCATATGTGAGGTAGTAGTTTGCTATACAAAAATGCACGGCTTGTGTAGTATGTAGTGACCCTCTGACAGTTCTCTCTGACCAATCAGAGGTCTACAGTGTTTTAACTCCAAATGTAACTATCGCCGAAGTTGCTTAGGTGGTTCTAAAAGAAGAATAAGGTATTTTTCTGGTGCAAAGCCAAAAGATAGCATGTCAAGTTCCCAGATAATATCAATCCTGTCTGTATGACTCGAGTGCATAAGCCTTCTTCATAGGCCTCTAACAAACAACTCAAATAATCTGTGCTTTTTGATGACCTCACCGTCACTTTGCAGGTCCTGTGTTTGGCAACATGGATCAGTTTGTTGGACTTGGAATACTTTTGGACACTTACCCCAATGCCGACAAGACCCATGATGTGAGTGACAGTTAGAGTTATTGTCCTGTTGGTATTTTTTGTTGAGTGAAATCATCTCTTTCTGCAACCCTCTCCAATGTGCTGAGGACACGGCGTTGAAGTAATTTCAGCCATCTGTTTATCCCTAAATCTTTACCAGTTCACCATCCTATGTTGTTTTGTCACATACATATGTTCAAACTTCAGCCCTTTTTCCCCTCAATGTCACATTAGGGGATATGCGCCTAGCACTGGCAGATGTTTATATGTCTAGCTGGGCCATTTCATTTAGTTCTGTTCAAGAGGTTGTGTTATTGGTCACTGAATGACGGAGAAAATCTGACGTCCGCTCATCATTTTGAAAGATTAGAACACTAACTGTGGCGATCTACCATACCTTTGAAGCCACTCAGAGTGTGTCTCTTCAGTGGCACTACTGCTGCAGGACTTGATAAATCAAATACAACGCTGTGAGTTTTTTGAAACAATGCCGGAGTGTTTTAAGTGCCTCACTGTTGCTGCAGGGAGAAATGAAATTAACTGGTGCCATCTTTATTGATCTTACCAAAGCTTTTGATGTTGTTGATCGCTATTTACTACTTGATAAATTATATGCTATTGGACTTTCTAGAAGTGCATTACTTTGGTTTAGCTCATATTTACATAATCGAAAACAGTGTGTTATTTTGAATGGGAAAAGTTCTGATCTCCTTATACAGCATAGTGGAGTACCTCAGGGCTCTACACTTGGACCACTACTTTTCACCATTTATATAAACAATTTGCCCTCCATTTTTCAAAACTGTAATGTTCATCTATATGCAGATGATACCGTTATTTACACATCAAAACCAAATCTCTCTCAAATTCAAGTTTCACTCCAGTCAGATTTCACCCTCCTGCAAGACTGGCTATTCCAGAACAAGTTACTTTTGAACAAAACTAAATCCTTCTCTATGATCTTTGGTACCCGACACAAACTCAAATCTTTGACTGGCTCATGTGATATTTCTTGCAATGATGGTACAATTCTGCATAGAGTTGACAGTTTTAAATATTTAGGGGTATGGCTTGACTCTAACCTTTCATTCAAACCTCATATTGATCATATACTGCATAAAGTAAACTTTGGTCTCGGTACTCTTTACCGCTCTCGGCACTGTTTTACCTTAAAAGTTAGGAAAAAACTTGCTACCCAACTGCTATTTCCCTTATTAGACTATTGTGACGTTGTTTATCTCAATGCTCCGAAATCTGTTCTAGCCCCGCTAAACATTGCTTACAATAGAATGTGTAGATTTATTCTCGGTTGTGATTTCCATACACACCACTGTGCACTGTACCTAAACCTCAATCTCCCTTCTCCTGATTTGAGAAGACATTTGCACTGGCTTGAGTTCATTTATAAAAGTTTCAACTTTAATTATCCCCCATATTTGAAACAGTATCTCTTTCGTTTTACATCAACCCACCAAGTTAGACATACCTCTCAGCTCTTCTTCACCGTTCCTCTAGTTAAAAAGGACATTGGCAAAAGAGCCTTCAAATTTAAAGCTCCTGCTGATTGGAATAACTTACCTGCTACCATCAGATCTCTCCCTACTCTGACTTTGTTCAAGCGTGCATTGTCGTCTCACCTCAAGGTTGAATGTTTTTGTATGACCTGAAGTACTTTATTTATTGTTTAAGGGTTGTTGAGGCTCCATCTTATTTCACCATCTCCTCATGAGATGACCCACCTATTGCCCATTTCTAAGTCTTTATTTCTAA